CAGTCCCAGGGAGGGAAGAGTAGAGAGAAGGAGTAGTCCAAGGAAGGACAGAGGGAACAGCAGTGGCACAATGAAGACTTTGTTTGAAGCTGAGCCGTCTGCTGGGCTATTTGGGACATCAGCACTCTGCCCCCTCCTTTGAAAAAGAAAACACCCCCGCCCCCCTTTCCAAAGAGCTAACCCAGTGATCCTCAACCTTACCTGCCACGGCACCGTGGGGTACCTTGAGCTCTTTCCAAACATGCCGTGGGGTTTCACGCAAAGTTTGCATGCAGACATGATTCGCAAGATAAACCCAGAGATTTCAAACAGGAATCCATCATAGTGTTAAAACCACTCTGACCTGCTGTGGTCTTTCTGAGTTCTTTGCAACAAATGAATTGCTCTAGTATTATTCTTTTTTTTTTTTAATATATATTTGTAGTAAAAAAACAAAAAACGAGTGTAAACTAAGAGCTAGCATTATCTGAGGAGTGCCTTGAGTCTAAAAAAGGGGGAGGACCACTGGGATAATAAAAGAAGGGAGTTCTGGGGATAGTACAGATGTCAAAGGTTTGAAGCCAGAGGCTGGCCCCTTGTGAAGCCATATCAGGGCTGGCTTGTGGGGAATGGGGAGCAGGGTGGGGGGCAGGGTGGTGTCCTCCAGGAGAGGGAGACTAAAGAAGCCTTCTTCTTGGGGAGTCCTGAGGCACAGCTTCCCCTAAAAGCAGTCTGATCTGTAACAACAAGTATTTGAAATGTGTTTTAAGATGCTATGGAAGGGCGCATGCTACTGTTCTTTTCCATGATAAGTAGGCAAGACATTCAAGGAACAACCGTTCCTTGTTGCAGATTTGGAGCACGTTACCTATGAATAGTCTGCTGTCTACACATGCAGTTTCAATTAGTGCTAGAAGTATTTGTGTCATAGTGGCATCTTAGAGGCTCCAGCAGAGATTGGGTGCCTCATGCAGTTGGAAACAAACTCCACCTCTAGCAAATGGTGTCTGGTGGGCAAGAAGAACGGGAAGGGAAAAAAGGAAGTATAGTCACAGAGCAAGTGAATAGCGGAGTGAAGAACAGACCCCAGATCCTCAGTGTGGGCCCTGTTCACTTAACCACACTACAGTGGCTTGCAAAGCGAGCACAGTCCCCCCCGCCCCTCCATTTCAGTCAATGAAGCAGGGTCCTGTGGAAGACTATTATGTGAGCATGCAATTTAGGACTGTAGCATAATGACAAGTCACAAAAACAGGCTGTAGGCAAATTCCTGGGAACTGGTAATCAGATGTAAGTAGGGGGAAAAACAGTGTTTTTGGCTACAGAGAGCCCTTATAATTCCAGGAGCAGCAAAGAATGCCAAGATATCTCCACCCAACACACTTGTTGGTTGGGGAGAGGCATGCATCCAAGTTTCTTTTGCCTTCCCCTCGGGATCCTTCCCTTGGCTCATTAATATTACCTCCGTCCTGTCTGAATTGACATTCAGCCAGGCTATTCTCTTCAGCCTCAGCCTTAGCCAGACACTGTGACATCAAAAGCATTGCACCATCTGGAACTGAAGGGAATGAGACGGAGCTGCAGGTAATTATTGCGCTGTTTGGCCGTTCAGTCTGATGAAACGGAGCCTCTCCGATCCTAGCATGAGAGGGCTCATCCTCTGTCGTCTTGGAAAGGAGAAAAAGGAGCTTTTCCAGAGTAGTGCTGCCTAGTGCACCTGGGGACTGGTGGTCGGGTACTTAAAAGCCTCAGGGGCAACAGTCTCAAAGACAGTTGGCAGCTTAGATACCTTGCACTAAGATAGGAAGAGCACACACCAACTGCTGAAACTTCCTTAGCCTGACGAAGGGTTTTTGAACCCGAAAGCTTGCTTAATAATTATTTTCCAACTATTTGGGTTGGTCTAATAAAAGATATCAGATTCAGCCAAGGAACCTTGTCTGCCTAATGCACTAAGACTAGCATTGCCTTAATGTTTGCATCTAGTTGCTCGCACCCTGGTACGTTCTAGGTTCATGTCTAAAGACACTCTCCTTTATCCTGAGATTTTCCATTATTCAAGGATGAGCAAAACCACAGCAGCTTCTTGATCCAACATCTCATCTGGACCCCCTTCCTTAGCACCCGATTCCCCTTTGTGCCTTTTACACTCCTGGGATGGAGGAAGGGGCACCTACCTCAAACATCTGTGAAGCCAAGCTGGCAGAAGAGATCTGCTTTTCTTTGCTTAGTCCTGGCCCTTGACGGCAAGAAAGGGCTCAGAGAGGCATAAGGGTGCTGCCTTATGAGGATAAAACAAAACAAAAAGATTGTAGGCAACTGGGTCAAGGATTTGGGGAGTTTTTGAGAAAGAAGCTAATCGTCCTTCCTTTCAGAAATGTAAGGGAGTCTTAGTAATCTCAGCCTAAAATAGGCCTGTTGCCAGTTGTCTTGATTTATTTAGCCCCGGGGGTGCCGGCATCCAACGCAGAGGTTAGCAGTGTGAGCAGCGTTGTCAGACGCTCCTCCCGTGGAGATGATGTCATGTTTTGTTCTCTCCAGATACAGAAGTAATCCTGCAAAAGGCAGGATCCACAGCAACGACTACCTGCCGTTCTTCTCCACGGATCAGCGGGCAAACGTTTCGCTGCGCCACTTAATGGGCAAGACAGGAAGGAGGATTAACCAGTGCCCCTAGCACATCCTCTGCTGTATCACCGAGAGCAGTTAGGAAAAAAAGCTGAGGTTGGAAAAACACTGGCAGTTGCAGCTCTGCTTTGGAATGAGGCTTTTTTATAGGTCGCCACAATTGTTAGCACCCCATAACCTGCTATAATTATTATTATTAGCTGTTCTGACAAAAAAAGGCCTCTCTGAGCCTGTTTGCCTGGGATTAGGAAGCAACACAGACAAGTAAAGAGGTCATTATTTCTTCTCACTGGAAGATGACTGCAGCTCAAAGCCCCGGCCTCCTTAAGCATTCATTGTAATGGAGGGAATCAGCTTCAGCCTGGTTCTTTGCTTTAAATCCATGGCAGTGAGGTAGGGATTATATCACCATTGAGTCTTATTTGTTCCAGTGGCTGTTGCTTGGTTTTTCTCTAGGTCGTTGGGGTTTTTTGGAGCAGGGGACAAAATGTTTGCGTTCAGCTAATAACACAGAAAAGTCTATGCCCAGTTGCTGTTGACTTGGCATAACAAAAAAATATGAAAACAGGTGGCTGAGTGGAAAATCCTCAGGGCTTATCACCTTCTGCAGGGGCTTCCAGCTGCAGACCGAGTCTCTGGGATCCCTACCCTGGCTGCCTTTTCCTACCCCCATCCCGGGGGCAGGGTAGTGTGGCAGCACAGGGAGCTGAGGGTAAGGCCGGGGGCATGTGGTGCAGTGCGGGGCAGGGGGACAAGGGTGTGCAGTGTAGTGGTGGGGGGCATGGGCATGTGGTGTACCATGGGGGGCAAGGGGAACATAGACCCTGCTGGTGTGGCAGCCCCTGTCTGCTTAGGAGTTGGACAACCTTGA